CCAACTCCATAGACATCATTGTACTCCCCACCGGTTCTGGCCAGGGTTTCGGGTTTAGGGCAGGGTTCACAACTTTTAAGTCAAACTTCCACGACTAAACAAGCTCGCGATCCCTACACGTTGCCCTAGCGCCCTGCAAGTTCTTGTCCTTCCCCCAAGATACCAGAACCCCACTACCACAAGGAAAAAAAGGCTCCCCCCCACAGCCTTAACCGCCATTCAACGAGACTTCGCCGCCGCTTCTAGCAGGCCCCCCAGTTTTGTGAATTCGCCCTCCCCGCCCTGAGCTGCCTCGACGCAAAAATGCGCGCCGCTCTCTGCTTGGGATCCCTCGCCTTTGCCAGCGGCAAGGCAGGCGGCTGTAGGGGCCTTTAGGGTTTAGGGTTTAGGGTTTAGGGGTTTAGGGTTTAGGGTTTAGGGTTCCTTGATAAGAATAACACTAATACGAAAAACGAAGACGAATTATTGCGATCATGCTAACACCGATACTACTGCCATGAGACTACGATGAGACGACGATTACCACTGCTCATCATATTAAAACGACCATTAATGATAGATACTCATACTAAGAGAACTATTCTTTCGAAAAATAAGAAAAGTATTAATGCTACTATTGATGAAAATACAAGTATGGTAACAAGTCAATAAGCATATAGTCATAATATCATGACATTATCGTTTACAGTAGCGTACAATAGTATCCATCATCACTCAACGTACGAAACATAATACTGACAAAAAACACTCAGAATTGGAATAGAATTTGGGGGTGTTGTGTTCCAGTTAGGATAAACATATACGGATTCTGCAAGAAGTAAAGTACGAGTTTCCTCCCAAGTGTATGGCACTTTAGGGCCTTTACAAGGAGTTTACAAAGTGTGCTATAAGGGTTGGGTGAGGGTAATCTTGGGGCCTGAAGAATTACCAAGTTATTCGCCGATCCCACTGATAGTATTCAGCCCCTTTCAGCCCATGGCTGATGATTCAGGCCTCCTGGTTATGCTAGTCTGAGATTGGTCCGAAGAAGGCATTGATATCGTACAAATATGATGCGGGAAGCCCTATGCTAGTAGCAAGCGGATTGGTATAAAGGGAATAGCCCTAGTAGATGTATGAACTCAGAGTCCGGCTGCCCTAAACCCTACACCCTAAGCCCTAAGCTACCCTAAACCCTAAACTGCCCTAAACTGGCCTAAACTGCCTTAAACCCTAAACTGCCCTAAACTGGCCTAAACTGCCTTAAACCCTAAACTGCCCTAAAGCCTAAGCCTCTTGAGCGGCCCCGAGGGCCGTAGACTCTGAGTCTGGGAGGAGGAGCAAAGAGGAAGCTTTTAAGCCCCAGAGCTTTGGGGGAAGAGAAGCCCCGAGCCCAAAAGTTCCAGGGTTTAGGGTTCAGGGTTTAGAGTTTAATTAGGGTCTAGGGTTTAGGGTTTTTGATTTAGGGTTTAGGGTTTAGTAATTTAGGGTTTATTGTTCAGGGTTTAGGGTTTAGGGGCCAAGCCAAGACTCTACCGCCCCCTCCGCTGTTCAAGCGAAAGCCCGCAACCCCTGAGCCCCCCCCGAAGAGGTGGGTCAGGAGGCCTGCCAGGCGTCCCAGAATCGAGAGCCTAGAGCTCATCCCCTTGCAATGCGCCCAAAAAGGGCTTCGGAGTCAGCAGATCTGGCCTTAAACCCAAAACCCTAAGCCCTAAACCCGAAGACGGTCATACGGTTGATGAGATAAATCCTGCATTACCCATAATAAGGAATATGCCATAATTCCCATGGTTTAGGGTCCTTAAGGTCATGCAGGATTTATTTCATCAACCGCAGTATGATGGTGCCAGGGTACAAACCTCTAAACCCTAAACCCTCAACCCTAAATCGCTAAACCCTAAACCTTAAATCCCTACACCTCTAAAAGCCCAGTCTTCCTCAGAGGTCTACTTCTCTGAGACTTTCGGAGATGGATGGGAGCCGCCCGGCATCAAGCCTTTTTGAAGGGAGCGGAACCATGTAGGGGCCTAGATAATTACCACATTCGATGTTTTATGAGGGATATGTTGTACCAAAACCATAATGAGGAACTCATAAAATTTTATGACCTTTACGAGGTCCTTATTATGGTTTTAGTACAACATATCCCAGAACCCTATTATTAAGGCCGCTATAAATTTGAAGGTTCGAGGTAAGGGCTGAGGGCTTAGATCCTGCATGTCTTCCGGGGAGTGTCGAGGGTGTGCGTCGCGAGGATTGGAGTTCTTGGTAGCATCCCTCAGTAGGGTTTAGGGCTTTAGGGTTTAGAGTTTAGGGTTTTAGGGCTTTCGGGTTTTAGGGTTTAGGGTTTAGGGTTAAGAGTTTAGGGTTTTAAGGTTTTTAGGGTCTTAGGGTTTTAGGGTTTTAGGGTTTAGGGTTTAGGGTTTGGGCAGCCTAGTGGCCAAGTGCTGAAGAGTTCAACATCCGAAGCTCAAGCTGCGCAGCGCAGCTGCATGCGTCGTGTAGTACAAAGGCGTGAATATGTAGAATCGGGTTTTGGGAGGTATACTATCTTCCAATTATATTGAGTTTTAGAGCCCGCAGGAATGTTAAAGGCCCCTATATTCCGGCTTAGGTTTGGGGAGGCTCACTGGGGCTAACCAGCAAGTTTGCATCCGATGAGGGTTGGCAAAATAGGAGCCGCATGGCGGATGGGGGTATAGATGGGGTATAGGGCTCGGGGTTGAGGTTTTAGGTACTTGTTGTGCTTTGTCTTCGGCCCTAACACAAGACTAGGCCTAACAAAGAGTCCCGATACAACTGAAACCTTACACTGTCGCGATTCACGAACCACCCAACTCCCCGAATTCACACAAACACGAAGCTCGCGGGATTCGACATGAAACTCTCGATAAAAGCCCTAGAAGAAGTGATTGCAAGGACCGAGCACAACCCTAATAATGTTTAGACTCCTCTCCTCCCACGAAGAGTGTATCGTGCGGACAGTTTTGCAAATCTCTTTTCCTGAAGCCATAAACCCGAGACCAAAGAACCTAAAAACCCTAAACCCGAAGATTAAGTCCATATAGTAGAACCCGAAATATGCCTCAGAAACCCGCGATGGACACAGAAACGACCCAAGTCAGGGCAAGTCGAACAACCCTCAGCCCGAAATTGGAAAGAATCGAACTGAACCCGAGGACCTCATCCATGCAGCCCACAAGGATAGGGCCCGAATGTTCTATAATAGACTCCAGAACCCTATTGTAATTATCAAGACACCTACATCGCGTATCCCACTATTCTTTAGGTTTGCTTCTGTACGTGCATTGCAACACAGGCGCTGAGGGTTTAGGGTCGAGCAGGTAGGGTCAAGCGATTTAGGTTTGAGGTTTTGGTGTTCGGGGAGACTTCCTCAAGTCTTCACACCCTAAAGCCCGAAGCCCAAAAACCCCAAATTATGGGGGTTTAGGCTTTAGGGTCTTAGGCTTTGAAAAGCTCCCAAACCCCCCAGGAGCCGATGGACCCCGAGCGAGTGGAAGAAGAGCGATGGTACCCAGGGCACCTGGCAGCTCTCCGCGGGCAAGTGGCGCCCGGGCTCAGCTCTACGCTTCAAGAGCTAAAGAACACATGATACTGTAGGGCCTTCTGGTGTGTTAGAGTATGGCTTCACTATAGACACACAGACATATATATATATACACATATATACATACATACATACATACATACATACATACATACATACATACATACATACACACATACACATACACGTATTATACATGTGGGGTTTTGCATTGTGACATATAGTTACAGTGGTATGATATATATATATAGATATATATATATACACATACATACATACATGCATACATACATACATACATACATACATACATACATTGTTACTTTTCCACAGTACATACATGCAATATAGATGTTGGAGCGGCTAGACAGTACGTGCTCCCTTACGGTCCCTTTCTAATTTTTTCTACAGCATATACCCCCAAATCCCTGTCCCAATTTAGGCCACTACGTTTCTTATGGGTGGTTCTCTAAATTAGGGTCCCGTTTAGGTCCCCAGAATAGAACGGCACCCTCATAAAAGGACCCTCAAAGGGACTCGAATTTAGAGAACTGCCCACATCCCTTGGCGACCTCGGCCCTTTTGTTTTAAAAGCAGCTCGGGGGTCTATGACTTCGGGCCAGGGTTTAAGGTTTCTTGGGGTTTAGGGTTGAAGCTTTCTGAGGGGTGTCTTTGGGTTTGCTGTATCTTGTTTCTTGGCATTTCTTGGGGTTTAGGTTCCGGGTTGAGGGTTTCTCGGGGTTTGGGGTTTCAGGGTTTCTTGGGGTTTCGAGTTTAGGGTTTCTTCGGCATTTGAGGAGTTCTGGCACTTCAAGTCTGCCCAGCTGCAGCGTGGGTGGCAGACTTGCGGATGTGAGCGCGGTAAGTAATTTCAGGCACAAACAGTACGACTGCTTGCAGCCATAACTGCAGTTGCAACACCATTACCATAAGGACCACAGTCACTTTATCTAGGAAGAGTGGTTGCAGCAATACTGACCGTACTACTGCGACTACTCTTGTTGATAATGGTATTCTCAATGACAAACATAGTGGCAGCAGCGTCGGCGACGAGACGACGAGACGACCACGGTCACTACGACGGCCACGCTCACCACCTTCACAACAACAACCACGACAACAGCAGCAGCAGCAGCAGCAGCAGCGAGCAAGCAACAACAGCAGCAGCAGCAACAGTATCAGCAGACCGGTACTGGCAGCAAGAATGGTAGGTACTCGTTCTCATAGCAAATGCTCATCATGGTGAATTTAGTCGTAGTGATAGTATCACTCATGACAGTACACATGAGGAATAGGATTCGACTTGTCATTTTATGAAAGCAATCAGTGTAAAAGGTGAAAGGCTGCATTGGAATTTTGGTCGGAATTTTTCATGTTTCAAAGTAGCAGTATCAGTCGTATGTCTAGTCACAACACAAGGCATCAACGCTGTTCCGTTCCGTGGCTCCTTAAGGTTCGCCAATGAGGCGGAGGACAAGGGCGTGCAGACCGCTGAGGACTCCCGGTTCTTCGGCCTCTCCGCGGGCTTCGACTCCTTCAGCAACGAGGGCAAGGAGCTGATCATCCAGTACCAGGCGAAGTACGAGAAGGACATCGAGTGCGGTGGCGGCTACGTCAAGGTCGGGCCAAAGCTCAGCGATCCCAAGACCTTCGGCGACCCCACGCCGTACAACATCATGTTCGGCCCGGACAAGTGCGGCTACACCAAGCGCACGCACCTGATCTTCAGCTACAAGGGCAAGAACGTGCTGAAGAAGTCGGACCTGGC